TACCAATTTATTCGGTACTAGAAACGAATAATGTCCATGCCCAGTATCGATATAATCGGGAGGAAAAAAACTAACTTTTATTGTGAAGCTCAACTAAATTGGTCTTGTAGAAAAAACAGGAAGTTTCCGAACTCGATACCAGGCCAGAAGATGGAAGAAAGTTTTTGTGTAGATTCCCTGATTCACTATAACGAGACAGATTATGAAAGAAACTCTCTACCAAAAAAAATTGAATATTATCGACTAAATTCAATCAGAATTTTAAATTACGATTTTCCCTATGCTGCAAACAAAAAAAAGTAAAGAAGACTGACTGAAGCTGTGGAAAGACAAATGAACTCATAGATTAAATGTTTTTTTAAAAATAAAAAATGAACAGCTGTAGATCTAGATCTACACATATTCCCGGCAAAGTATGTAAAACAGTTACTAAATCTGGGTAATGCATAACTTTTTTTTATTTTTACGACGTAGAGAGCTCTTTAAATTTGGAAGGACAGGAAACGAAAATATTTTGTAACAAAACAAAATATGTATACAGAAGAGCGAATATAGGCTACTCTAAACGAAATCCATTGTGCTGTTGAGATATATTATTCACCACTAGGCCTAAAGAATGGTAAAGAGCAGTTCAGACATGTTCGCAGTCATAAAATGCACTTTTAATGGGCGGCCTGAAAAGCGACAAGCTGTTTAGATTATATTCTAAGCTTCGCCCTACTATGCCGTGTCCTCGGTAGTATAGTGGTAAGTATCCCCGCCTGTCACGCGGGAGACCGGGGTTCGATTCCCCGCCGGGGAGGAAGTTTTTTTTTTTTTTTTTTAATTGTCCAAGAATGACAGTTTTTCTTTTATTACGATTTCATTCGTATTTCTGCTTTTTTATCATTTTTCTTGACAATGGTATCATTGTAATTAAGAATGTGTGGGTCGATCACAGCAAAACGAATTGCCGCACTCTGACGGCGCGCACTGCCTTTGGGACGTGGGTCAAACCAGAGAGGGTTTACAGTAATACTGTAAACTCTCTGGTCAAACTTCAGCATGTTTTGGCTGCAGATCACACGCACATGCCGCGAAAATGAAAACTGTCGCAGATCAATTAGTTTCAAGAAAACCAAGGAGCTTAGAACTAATGGAGCCTCCTCTCTCTCTTCGCGGCGCCGCGAGCAGTACGCCGCGTTGGGGATCAAA